AAAGAGTGGCAAGGACAATGTGTGCCCCACTGACCTCAACACCCATTCCCTGCCCCCTGTGCTGCTGGGATGGGAGAAGGCAGAAACTGGGAGCAGAGCTGAGCCTGGGAAGAAGGGAGGTGGGGAGAAGGTGTCTGGGTGAAGGCACTTTTAAGATCTGGTTGTATTTTCCTCATTCTACTTCAATCTGATTGGTAAATTGGTGGTGTTTGTTTTTTTTGAAAGTAAACCAGTGTTTTTTCCTCAAGTCTACTCTTGTTTTTTCAGGTTTTTTTTTGCTCATGACCATAATTGGTGAGTAAGCCCTCCGCCGTCTTTAGTCTCGACCCCCAAGCCTTTTGTTACATTTTTCTCCTCCACACAGTTTAGAAGTGAGTGAGTGGCTGTGTGGTTCTTTGTTGCCCACTGGGTGGACTTAAACCACAAAAGTGGTTTGGCAACACCAGTCAAGGCAAGGACTGCATTCACAAGACACAAAATAGCACTGTTATGCTTTACATCCCAGTCAATCTGGAGACAGACAAGCGACTACTTCGAAGTTTCACTTACCTATCAAAAACAGCTGTTTAAATCTTGTGTATGCAGTCTGGATATCTTGCAGAGATGGAAGGCTGCTTGACAAGTCATCCGTCTTCAGCAGTTCATAGGGAGGTTTGCTAATTGTCTTATAGATTCTAAATCAAATCATCAAGAGATTAAAGCCTTCTGCCTCACAAGTAAATAATGCACCAACTATTATCAGTGAAAACAAAGTTAACAGGCATGGTTTGGGAAACAGCTGTAATGCCAAAAGATACACACCTTAGAAAGCTAAAGGCCTCCATGCATTTTTAAGTACTGACTGGAAGCTTGCCTATAAGGTTATGACAAGTTTTGCTCCTCTTAGCTGTTACATTAATATAATTGTGCAGTTATGAATATTACCAGCATAACTTGATGTTTACTACTGCTTCTTCAGTAGTGGCTTCACTAGACACATCAACATTTTTTACTAACAGGCTATTTATAGGTGAATCTAGAAAGAAGAGATGGATAGAAACTTCCAAACTTCCCACCAGACACTTAATGATTTTTCTTCACTTTTATGAACCAAATTACAATCAGATACCTCGCTGCCATGTCTTCTTACGAAACACGACTGAAAGAAAAAGAAACAATTTTGACTCAAACAAGACAGTCTAACTGCCTTGTATTTCCCTACTGCCTTGTATTTTCCTCCATATCAGCTTTTATCCCTAGGAGAGGAAAAAAATATCAGGTCAGATGAAGCTTTAGTTTGGACTCCCAACACCTTATCATCTCATGATGATGAACATCAGCTTAGGAAATACCTCTGTTGTCACGCTGGCTTTTTATTGCCAAGATTTGGGAAAAGTTGCTCTAGCTCATACATCGGAGGTGAAGCCTTGCAGGCACTTGCCCAGATGGGACAGACTGCTCTGCTTCCTTTATGCTGTGGCACAGAAGGCTGCTTTAAGCAGAACTACATGCATCTACATCAGAAATGCAGGTTATTAGACCCACCAGAAGATGCATCAGGTAAGAGAATTGAGGGAAAGCAGTCACCTGTCAATTGCAATACTTCTTCCAAATTGAGGTGAACAATTTGTGCTAGAAGATCTGGTTCTGAACAGCTTTTTCAATAGAGGAAGTTGTTAATTGTAAACATCTGCAGCATGCTTTAGTTCAGACTACTATTACAATGGCATGTTAACACACCCTTAGGGACAAGCTGCAGATATATTTTTAAATATTAGTGGTTAACCACCAGTAGTCCATAGCAAAGAAAACCACCAATGGTGCCCCAAGTTCAGATGGCTCCAGACAAGGATCAAAATATCAGTTGATGCCTTCTTACAGCTGACTGACAGTTTTACTTACTTTCACATTATGAAATTACATTAAAAAGTTACAAGTCATGTAAACTTCACCATTTCAGGGGAGAAACATTAAAGAATCTGCAGGAAGGGTCAAAAGCCTTTCCCACAAGGTATAATTAATTTAATAAACACAACAAGATTTAAGAGCCTAATCAAGGTATTTCCTGTTAGTTCTTTGTGATTAACAGGTTCTCCAACTATGACGAGAAAAAGAGCTAGTGGCCAAACAGTATAGACTGTGCATACTAACCTGATCTAGCAGCTTGCTGCTAAGGGTCTCTCCAGGACACCCAAAAGGTTAAAAAAAGCCAGGAGGGGAAAAAAAAAAAAAAAAGTAATTGCTGTAACTCTCAGCCAGGCAGCTGTGCTCTTCCCCTTAAGTCAACTTTGGCATTTTTCAGACTTCTCACTACCTCAGCTAAGAACAGTGCTGTCTGCCACTGCATAGGAAAGCAGCAGTGAACTCCTAGATTGTTTCAGTCATTATAGGTCACTTTATCTATCTAAAGTTATTTAAGAACATGAACCTAGTTTGCAGAAGATAGAGTTCAGAAAGGTTTAAAATTCAGCTTGCAGATCCACATGGAGAGGTAGAGTCTAGATCTCCCTTACTTGCAAACACAATTGAGCACATCATCCAGCGCTACGTTAACTGTACTTAAGACCTACAGGCCTTGGTGCTGCTTTATCTAAGAAGGCACCACAGTTTGTGAAGAAATTCATCTGATGTGTAGGTACACATACATATATCTATTTGTATCTGTATTTCTGCAAATAAGCCTTCAGTGATGTTACAGTCCTGCACATTTCACTAATGCTGTTAGGCCAAGGGCTTAAACCCATTCCACTACAGAAAACTACTTTTAAATCTCGAACTTGTTTCCTGCAGCGTGCAAGCTTAAAGATATGGAAAAAGAGAAGCAAGATCCATAGCAAGCAAAGTGTTGTGGACAGAATAGCTATTACTGACCCATCCAAGAAGGCTTTTTGCATTTGTGAAGTGCTGTCATCCTGTTCTTTGGGAAATGCAGACATTTTGAGAAGAGCAGCACCGTTATGGCAAGACCAACACCAGATCTGTAGAAAGACATTTACTAGGTGATAAAAATTGGTAAACTGTCCCATGCAACGGATTTGCTTAAATGACTGAGTGATTACAAAACAAATCTCTATGCTGTGCTTAACTGAGTTTTCGGTGTATTCAGTGAACCATCAGTAGAAAAAAATTCAGTATCTGCACCAAAACTACATGCCTCAGTACTCGCTTTCAAGTTAAGCTTTATACAGGCACAGGGAAGCACAGTGTCAGATTGCAAGAGAACATTACTTTCTCAACTGCCCTCATAGGTAAAAAAATTGATCAAAATGTCTATGGCCAAATTATGTATGTATTATGCTCTTGTATGTAATTCACATATGTTAACTAACAGTTTCTCCACATAGATATGGTAGCATTTTTCTTACAGTTCAGCCTTGAAATAACTCACAACAGATACACTGTGATGCCTTTCCCCATGAGCTATGCATAAAGGGTCACCTAGGCCTGTGAAATAAGATATTAAACATTCCACAACTAAATCAGATTGTATAGTTACAGATATTTTTTACAGCAAATCATCCTCAAAGCTTGTTCCTTCCCTTTACACATAATTTCTTGACTTGCCTACTTCATCAGGGACACAGGCAGCGGGATTGAGTGCGCCCTCAGCAAGTCTGCAGATGATGCCAAGCTGAGTGGTGCAGCTGACATGCCAGACGGACAGGATGCCATTCAGAGGTACTTGGACAAGCACGAGAAATAAGCCTGTGTGAACCTCATGAGGTTCAACACGGCCAAGTGCAAGGTCCTGCACCTGGGTTGGGGCAATCCTTGGTATCAATAGAGGCTGGGCGATGAAGACATTGAGAGCAGCCTCACCAAGAAGAATTCAGGGATGCCAGTGGATGAAATGTTGCATATGAAGAGGCCAACTGCACCCTGGACTGCATCAAAAGAAGTGTGGCCAGCAGGTCATAGAATCATAAAACACGTTGGGCTGGAAGGTGCTTTTAAAAGTCATCGAGTCCAAGCCCTCTGCAGTGAGCAGGGACATCTTCAACTAGATCACACTGCTCAGAGCCCCATTGAGCCTGACCTTGAATATCTCCAGGGTTGGGGCCTCCACCACCTCTCTGGGCAACCTGTTCCAGTACTTCACCACCCACATTGTAAAGAATCTTCTTCTAACATCTAATCTGAATCTACCCTGCTCGAGTCAAGGTTGAGGGAGGAGATTCTGTCCCTATTCTCTGGTGAGATACCACCTGGAATACTCTGTACAGCTCTGGAGTCCTCTGCACAGGAAAGCCACAGACCTGAGCAGCCAAAATAATCAGAAGAATAGAACACCTCTCTTATGAGGAGAAAGGCAGAGAGTTGAGGTTGTTCAACCTCAAGCAGAGAAGGCTCCATGGAAACCTTAGTCCAGCCTTTCAATACTTAAAAGGGGCCTACAGAAAAGAGGAGGACAAACTTTAATAGGGTCTGTCATGATAGGACAGGGGGTAATGGTTTTAAACTAAAAGAGCATAGATTCAGACTAAGTATAAGGAAAAGAATTCTTCCAATGAGGGTGATGAAGCACTGTAACAGGTTGCTCGGAGAAGTGGCAGATGCTCCATCTCTGGAAACATCTGAGGTCAGGTTGGACAGGGTTCTGAGCAATCTGATCTAGTTGAAGATGTCCGTGCTCACTACAGGGGGCTTGGAGTAGGTGAACTTGAAACGTCCTTTCCAATCCAACACATTCTATGAATGGAAGATGCAATTATAAAAAAATAAATAATTTCCTCTTTGTGTAACAGTCACTGTAATTTGAGATAAAGTGAATTAAACTATTTTGAATCTCACTACCTGAAAGGAGAAATTAGGCAGGACGGTACGGTGCTATCTTCCCCATGAATCAATTAATTTAAGAGACTGAAGTGAACGTGGTTTTCCTTGGTAAATTTGATGGGCATGCAGTAACTAAGGTAAGACCTCATAAGTGAGGTTGCTTTGCTCCTTGTTTCTATCTACTCTGTCTTACTGGTTATTAAACTCCAGTGTGAGGTAGGAAGCCAAAGCCAGCTTGCTACAGGGCACAAACCAGTACATTTAATTTAATCTGTTCAGACTTGTAAAACTAGTTTTTCAGTTAGGCTACCTGGCTTTGTAAAAATGTTGCATCATCACAGCCATACTACTTACCAGGACCCAAGCTAGGTAACTGGAAGTATTCAGCTACACCTGTACGTGTATGGTCTTCACCTCAATATCTAAGTAGCATTTCAAGGTTTACAGCCTGCTCCAGCTAGATGTCACTCAGTACTGAGCTTCACGAAAGACAGGCTAATGAATAGACAGACTAGTGGTATAGACTATAGAACATTAGACATCTGATGTAAGTAAATGGGGGCTCTGAAGCATACCTATATACTTTGCTTTACACTGTTTAGTGGAATACAGAACACTTTGAACACTTTCAACACTTTGAGCATTTCTCCTTCCAATACCTGTTCCTCTCTAGAGAAGACTACATGTGAGCTGTTCAAAAAGTTCTGAAAATAATATGCAACAACACCTGAAAAGCTAGCTGAAATTTCATCTTCTCAACAAGATTTCTTACCCTTATCCATGGATATATACTTACAGGAAACTTCATACTTCAAGATACTCTCTTCAGAAACACATATGGGAACAACAAAATACAAAGGCAGCCTAAGATAACAAAAGAGAGTTTCTTGCACTTAAGTGAACAAAGAATAAGCTCCTTCTAATAACAGTGAGTGTTCCAGCCCATGTGCTAATTATAGATTCACCCTTACTGCTACAATCATCTTTCCTACTAGATAATTATATTGTCCTCAACACCTCCCCTTTACTTTCAGCTGGATAAGGTATTTTCTTCTAACCTAGCGCTCTTGATTATTTTTCACTGCAACATTTCCTATCGATCCAAGGCTGTAATTAAGCCCCATATCTAACTGTTAAGACCACCTTGGTTCTCTTGTTCTTCTGTTGTTTTCAAAGATACCCTTGTAGTATTAGAAAACTCGTTCTGTTTCCATGCCTTGCAAGCAGTTCATATCTCTATTCAAGAATGTCATTTAATATACCACGAATTTCCAGTATCAGCCAACACTATTTATGTTCAAGGCCCACAGAAGCAACAAAGACAAGTACTTAACTGTCTCTCAAGAGAGTTCCAGAAGAAAGTTAAGACTTCTTTGAAAATCAGTGTTTGTTCCCAAGGTCTGTGAAACCTTCCAGAATTTTACTATTAAATAATAGTACACAAAGCCTTGTATACCTCCTAGAGCGTTCACCAATAGATACTACTGAACTAAACTGGTAGAAGTATACATCTCTAACGTTCCACTAAAAGCCACACAACTTAACTCCCATCAGCGTATTTTGTAGGTACACTTTAAAGCAGTTACTCCTTCCCCACAAAGTCACCCAGCTAAAAAAATAGAACATCCCAACTGCATCCAACTTGAAATTTTACCAGAGGAAAGGTACAGGACTAAGAAAATGCCATCCTAACCACTAAGTATGACAAAAGTGTATGTACCAGATCTACGTATTTTCTATTCCATTTTAAGGTGGTATTCTCCACCCCTAGAGATATTCAAAGCTTGACTCACTGAGGTCCCGAGTAGCAAAATCTAATGGTAAAGTTAACTCTGCTTGAGTAGGAGTTAAGATGACCTCCTGAAGTCCCATATTAAAGTATCCCACAAATCAAAATGGAAAAAAACCCTGAACAACTCTATAATGATTAGTATCAAAAGTAGCATTGATTTCTGCAAATCTTAATGAGGCATACATCCAAAGTTCATTATTAACCAGGGCAAGCTTACTTTTCAGAGACTCTGTAGCCTTCATTGGTAGTCACTGCTTTGTATTTCACATTCCCTTTGGTCCGCTCCAACTCATCACGCCAGTCCTCCAGAGTATCAAACATCACAGTTTGGTTTCTTCCATCTGTCAGATATCAATAATAACTATGCCGACTATCAGGAATTTTGACATGAAAGCATTCCTAAATCAAGGGTTTAGTTTTCACTAAACGAGCCGTGTACAGAAAGTCTCAAGTCAAACATAAAGTGCCTTTGTACATTGCAGTGCTTCTGTCTGATCCTCAATGACATCTTCTGTGAAACATTGCTTTAACTAATAACTTCAGGAATCGTTTTCTCCTGTAGAAACTGATCAGTTCTTATGGAACTTCCATACAGTTAAGGCTGAACTCACAACCAGCCTAAAACCTAGGATGCTGTGCAGCAAATACCATTGTATACCAGTGCAGCTGACAGGCATCTAATAACAGAGGCTTAAATGCAGAATTAACAATCATCCCAAAAGCCTTCCTGCAATTCAGATAACTGCGTTTCATTTGAAATTCACTCTTTTATCATGGATAGGAGTTTTGCACTGAATAGAATATTTCAGGCACTTGATAAAAGCAAAAAAAAATTCACTGCAGCAGAAAATTGATTACAGCAATTCAGTCTCAATCATTTCAACTAGGAACTTTTCCTGTATTTTTATTGAGCCACCTCAGCAATAGTTATGACAGCATGGTGATTTAACCTCAGATCTTGTATAATAACCATATAATTTATGGAGCAAGGCCAACTGTTCTAGGCATTCATCATAATTAAGAATCCTGCAACATGAGCTAACACTGAAATACCAAACAGAAGTAGAATTTCCATGGAAGATACAATGGCAAGTTGAAGCTTTCTACTGTAAGAAGTTAAGATAGATGAAAAATTTACAGCATGAAACAACATAAATAATGAACTCCACGGGACAAGATTTAAGAGTATCAGATTGTAAGAGGCATAAAACCAAATTTCCAAAGTCTATTTGGTTTGTCCTGTCACAACTTCATAAAGATGGAAACTTCACGATTTAATATTGAAGACAGTTTTTAAAATACGAAAGAATTCTGGCACAACACTTCAATGCCACTATAGAGACTACGCTCCTCCCACTTCCGCTTACTCTCTGCCTGGAAAAATCATAGAGTCTTCCTGATGTCTGTAACTCAAACTGAACACCAGTTACAGATGAAGCCTGAAGAAACTACCTGAGCCAGCAACATGGCCTTGCAGCAAAGGTGCCAATGTGTTCTTGGGCTGCACTGGGAAAACCATTTCCTACAGGCTGAATGACTGTTCTTCTAAGCTCAGCACTTGTAAGGCCATGCCTGGAGTGCTGTGTCCAGTGCTGGCAAGATGAGGGGCCGGTTAGCTCAGTCAGTTGAGCATAGTGCTGATAACACCAAGGTCATGGGTTCGATGCCCATTTGGTGCCCATGCGTTGCCTGATCTAGTCGAGAGGTGGTGTTCCTGCCCATGACAGGGAGACTGGATTAAATGATCTCTAAAGGTCCCTTCCAGCCCAGGCCATTCTATGATTCTATGATCCTTCCAGTGTGTATTAACACCTGATGGGACAGAAGCAGTGAAGGGAAGTAAAGAAGATTGATCCAGACTCAGTGGTATCCAGTGACATGACAAAAGGCCACACGCACAGGCTGTGCTTGGAGATATTCAAAAGCCAAATGGACAAAACCCTGAAAGGCTTGCTGTAGTTAACCCTTCTCTGAACAGGGGCAGATGGACAGGAACATGCCTCTATGCTCTCCAGAGGTTTCTTCTAATCTCAACAATTCTGTAATTCCTTGACATACCGATAAGTGTTCAATTAATACACCGGGTACATCAAAATTCTGTGAAAGGAACAGGCATAGGAATCAGGTTCAAAACAGCACTATTATTTCAGTTGAAGTCTAAACCATAAAATGCTATGACATGCACTGACAACTTTTTATCTTGAATTTTACAGCCCAATATATTATTCAGTCAAGTTTGATCAAGTGGAAAGATTATGGAATAAGTTAGCTATAAGAGGAAGTCAAACGTCTAGTGGGATTTTGCTACGTAAACCGAGTTTATATAGCTTCTTGCAGTTGTCTGCAAGAAGTCGATCAAATAAGAGCAAAAGGGCAAATACTTTCGATCAGATGACATTGAAAATGTAGTAACTTAAGGATTAAAAGCAGGAAGTTTGGTTCACTGCAATAGTACAAAAAAACACATTGATAAATATGCAAAGTATGTTCAAGACAACAGCACTCTAATCAGAAGCACGTGAAAAGCGTTTGCATGTATTTGTCACTAAGTTTTCCATCCAGTGATGCTATTTCTTGCTTGAAAAATTTCTGCACAACTACACTGAAGGACCCAGAAACCAACAGCAGACAACTCAGAGGGTTGTGGGTTTTTTAGCAACAAGTCTAACAATGTATAAGAAAAAATTTAATCTGAGGCTGTCTGTCAGCAGGGCAGAGTCATGAGCTGAGCACAAACACAGCTGCTAAGCACCCCAGACTGCTTAAGTATGCAACAAGTAGAAATTAAAAATACAAAAACATTTACCTGCATTGTTTGGGGCAGCTGATGCATAAGAGAACAAAAACAAGCGTTTAAGCAGCTTAGGAGTCTGGCTATGATGAACTATACCACTGACGATCTAGGAAAGGATCAAAAATTAACACTCAAACATAGACTAAGACTGTCAGTGTAATCAGCCTTTTTTTTTTTTTTTTGCACAACCATCCCTCCAGGTTTCAGATAAAACTGTTCAGTGAGTTCCATCCCAACAACTGAAAACTGGCATTTAGAATGTGATCTTTGTTTTCTGCAAGACACTATACTTACTTAGTACAATGAGAAGAACTACACATATTCAATTTACAGAATAACTCTTATTATTTAAATAAAAGTAGTAGATTCCTAGTTTGGAGTTCAGATTAACCTGTCAAAAGAACTCAAGATACCAGGAAACTAACTGCTTTCATATTAAAAAGGACAAAAAAAAGGTCAGAAAAATGTAAAAGAATTATACAGCACAAACAGAGAAGCTTCAAAAGTTTTCCTGAACTGAAGCTAATTTCATGTAGTACTCTAAAGCTCCAGTTTTCTTGAAAGAGCAACTCCCACACATAACAATGTTTAACAAGTAAGGTAAGCTAGAAATTGAAGTATCCTGCTTTGGCTTTCAATTTCAAGTTTAAGGGATGTCTCAGGGTGACTTTCATCCTTCCCTCATCCTCACAACTAAACGCCCAACATTAAGCTTAAAAAAGAAAAACAAATTAAGTTGCTATACTCACCCTTTTCACTTCCTCTTCTTTTGTGTATCTCAGGCAGAAATTAAATACTCTAAGGTCTTTACAGTAGATAATAAGCCTCTCCGGGTATTTTCTCAATTGTCCAGTTAGAAGTTTCTTTTTCTCATCATAAACTGCAAGATTACAAAGTCTAAGTATCAAAAAACACCGTTGCTGTCAGTTGAATAAAGTTATCACTGCTTGATTTTTTGCAATTCTTAAGAAACTAACTCAAGCCCAAGTTTTAGCAAGTCAAAGCAAACATCCTACAACACAGACTGGCAAGCTCTTGTGCTTACATACTCAACTTCTTTTTTTTTCCCCAAACCAACCCAAACTATTTCCTGCAAGGCAGAAACCAAACTTGCAGCAAACCCAGCTGCTCAGTGATTATTTCTGTTCATGTTCTGGCTGTATAGTAAATTCAAAGTTCTGAGACACATAAAGAATATACCTTGATAGTTTTGCCTGAGGGAAAGCCTGCAAACAAGTAAAATAATTCTAGGTTCCTAAAAGAGTTGTTAGTTTGTTTTAAACAACATAAAGCCCTCAAGAGATCCTTTTTATTCACTTCTGTTAGAGGATACATCATTTCACAACTTCAAGTGCTGTCAGCCAGGTCATTGTATATGGTACTATATGAACTCACACCAGTTTCAGCTAGTCTACTCCTTGTCCACTCCCTCACAAACCCACACCACCGTTCACAAACACCAGGTCCAAGGCCAGACTTCTCAATAAAACCTTCCCAACTAATACAAATCAGCAGCACCATTCTCGCTTACCTCTTCTAGCAATAAAGACATACCTGTAAGCTCTGCCAGAAAAAACCTCATTGATTTAACTTGCAAAGCAAAACCTCATTTTCTTTCTCCTTCAATATTTTGATGATATCATGAAACTCACAAAACAAAGTTTTCTTAGACAAACAAAAGGTACTGTTTAGAAATTTGGTACCTGTACCTGCACTGCTACCGCTCAAATGAAGTGAATACCTCCATATGTATAGAAATAGTTGATACACTGGAAGATCTTTGTGCACCTATCTTAATCAGACTTTTCACAGTGCAACCTGCTTTGCTTTGGATCATGAAATTCTGAAAGAATTGTTTTGTCTGTTCCAGCAAGACTATTAATCAAAACGTAGCTTTGACTAGCTTGAGAGGCAAGTGCGGTCTGATAGAGCTCTTATCTGTCATTTTATCATTAAATGTAACTGCAGCTCTTTTTTCTAGACTACTCAATCCTAGTTTCCAAAGTGCAGATTCCATCAGTTTTCTAAAACGGATGTATATGTACAGACAAAGAGCACCAGCACACTAAAAAGAGAGAGGCATGTTAAACCATGAGGAGAAAGCTGACCTACCTCCATAGATTTGATCTACACATTGTAGGGTTATGTCATTTTCTCCTACAATCTTATTCTTAAACTGTGGCTCCTAAAACATGAAAAAAAAAAAAAATCTTAGAAATATCATACTACTAAGCAGGAGCACCTTATAAGTAAAGGACATATTCAATACCTATGTTAATATCAGCATTACTTATTAGCTGTGCTAGGCAGAACACTGAAGAACAGTTATTAAAATACACACAAATGCAAGTTACACAGGCATAGTTTATCAACTGCAGATTCAGTTTTATTTAAGCCTCAGCCATGCTTGCAATGTAGATAGAGCTTTTATTTTTCAAACAGCTTCAAAGCATACATTTCTATTCAGAGTCACTTCAAACCAGAAACACTGCAGTAAACAGGAAATACAGTAACTTCACGTAATCCAAGCCCTTTTATGACAAGTTTCCTTGCTATGAGAACCTGGCAGGAAACAGAAAGTCTCTTAAAAGAGCACATATCCCAAGAATATTCCAATATAACAGTCAGATTTATCACTGTGTAAAATGAAGACACATACAACCCAATTCTCTTATCTACCGTTTTGTCAAATTTGAAGTGATTTGGTGCTCTCTTCACTTTTATCATTCCATGAGTTCAAAGACATTTGAGTGATGTCACAATTAAACATCATTCCATTAAATATTATTACCAGAAAGCTGATGTACACTACATTAGCAAATTACATTTTACATGAAGACAACTGTGAATAGAGTTAATGTCACTCAAGTTATTTCCAGGTCTCCAGTATTCTGAATCAGATGGCCAATACTGAACTTTTGTTAAGATAATATATTTTGATTTAGCATGCTACAAGTGTAAGATTTAAAGCTAGTGATGAAACAAAAACGACCACAGTCCTACTGATTTTAACATAAATCTCATGTGATCTGTGGAAAGGGCTCTGCAGCTTTGTCCTAGTTAATTCTAGAAGGTCCAGAAATTCATATTGGGCTGCAGAAGCCTTAGCTTAACAATTTCAACTCCCTGAAATATTGCCTCAAGAAACTTCCAACTACAATCAACGTGTGTCAAATGGTATTCTTCTCATTATTCTTCACTTTGAAAATGGCCCTACACTCCAAAGCCACATACTCGGCTCTCCTTCACCTTTATCACCTAAATGGACCAAACTGTTTCAGATCCTTAAGCACATCAAAATCAGTGTGGTACTACCATTCCCCTTTCACAGATCAATTTGAGCATCTGAAACAAAGGAAACAAGATTCATCTAATTTATAGGATTTGGGGACTTTTTAGCTTTTTCTAACATTTGCGAGCTCAATACTAACAAAGTTTAAAATCTTTGCAGTCAACACCTGACTTTGAATGGAGTAATTCAGAGCTCTACTGAGCCACACAATTATCTAAAGCACTTACACCATCTATTAGCTTACTCAGGCTTCTGCAGCCCTGAAAGGGTTCTGCAGACGTAGCCCAAAGTCAGGTCAGACAGATATTATACCACATACAAATTATGCGCGACTTCTACAACTGCTCCTAGACAAGCAGTCAGAAATACAGTTTAAATAAATTATTGATTTTCAAAATCATTTGGTTTTCTTAACTTATGCTTCAGAAAATTACCAACTCACAAGATATCAAGAATTATAAACTATGTCTAATGCAGGCAGCACACAAAGACTTGCAACATTTTTACTTAGTTATTAGAGTTTGAGGAACAATATGCATAGGCCAAGCAAGTAAAGACTGATTAAAATTAGTTTGCATCATTAAAAATTTATATTAATTCTGTATAATTATATAAGGGAAAGATATGATTTAGTCAGCAACACTATGCATCTTCAGAGTCTGTTTGGTCATAATTAGAAGACTTGTCCTCCTACGTTATCATCTGAAGCAGAATCATCAAGGAAAGCAATCTTGAAGTTTGTGCATACAAGTTTTCCATAGGTGCCACGATTTGAACCATCTTCTTGTATATACTTGTACACCGTGCTTGCCTCACAAAGCAGCAGTTCACCTGTACAAGAGAAACACTGACTTGCAACATAACAGACATTTACAATTGAATTATTTCAGCTGTTACCTTAAACTTAGCATTAACTTCCTGACAGCTTCTCATAACTGCACGACTGAAGGTATTTCATCACTGCTGCACAAAAAAGACTAAGAGCCAGCTCCAGGAATCAGTACACTGAGAGCTTTCCAGGTTATCAACATCACTCAAGATGGACTGAACACTGTTCAACTGCACACATTTAGGAGTTCTGTACCTGTATCGTGGCCTGCTCCAAGCAGGAGAAGAACAATATGTGGAGCTGTAAAGGGCAACCATATGACTGTGTATTCAAAAAAAAAAAACCTCCAAGGCTACCAAAGAGTAGTTTATACAGTTAAACAAGTTAAAAGCTGTTCAAATCTTCCTTACTGCTAAACTCCAAGAACACTGAAACATCTGAGTTGATTATTTGCTCATCATAGTTAATTTTTCATAGCTTTGATTGTAGATGTTGCTTATTTTACAGCTCCCAGGGTTATTTTAAAGTTTCTAAACACAAGTTTACATAAATAATGTTCAATGAAGTTCTAGTCTTAAAACCAGCAGGAACTGAGCCTCAAGTTCAAGAAAATAAAAACAGGTTTTAACAGGTATAATCAGTCAGACTCTCAGTCTTTCCTACAAAGTGCAGAAAACCCAACAAAACAATACTAGCTTATTCTAAGCTTTCACTTGTATTTTATGCTAGTAATATCACCTTTCCTGATCTTGGAAAACACTTTTTAAAAAGAAAGAATTATAAACTAGTAATAAAAAAAATCATAACAGTGAATGAGATATCAAAAGGCCTAAGTAACTCCTAGTAAGTTTCCACTTGTCCTTGTCTTTAGTTTCCAAATAAAGAACCCCATTCAACTTTACCTTTCAAGAAGCAGAGCAAAATGAAGTACAGACCATCCTCCACAGGCAGCTTACCTGAAGATACTGCAGGCTGAAAAATTCTACAAAAATTGAAATTTTTATAGAGTTTTTTAACAACCTACTTAAAACATTTTGGTTATTAGACCAAACCCTCTGTTTTACTACTTGGCACACCAATGTCACATGAGTGTTTACTGTAGACATAGGAGTATTTAAATATTTTTGCCTGATTTTCGTATTTAATTCTAATACAGTATACAACAGTTACCTGGTAATAAGCGAGGATTTACTTCCTTTTCTATGGGTTCCTTTATATGTACTTCCTAAAGAGAGAAAAAGTAATTATTATTTTGCAAAGATCGCACCTTCAACACATGCTGTAAATAACTAACAGCCTCTCTTAAAATCGCCATATTCTAGGAAAACACTAAATTAAAATTAAGGAAAAAAACTTCGTAAATTATGGAGAATAAGTTTGCAATGTGCTCCCTCCACTAAAGATCAGTAGTGTACTAGCTACATTATTAAGTCACTAGTTTGACAGCCACAGTGTCAGTTACTTGCAGCCGTGAACACAAAGAAAGGAAATGCAGTATTTGCATAAGTGACAGACAGAAGCACTAGCAATAGTTTTTCCTCAGCACGTGTAAACAGATAAGCACAAACTTAGTAGAACACCACCATCTCCCACAATCCATTCATAAGCTTTTCCGTGTATGACTTAATATCTGTTTCTCACATACCCTTCACTGTTTTTCAGGCTTCATCCTTCACTGTTTCTGATTTTCTCAGATGTATTACTGCAGTTAAAGTACGGAAGTTACTTAAACAGCATACCAGGATTATAGGGACTGGTATTCCAGAATCTCAGAGCCAAAAGGTAAAGCCAGTCACAGGATATCCTTTAGTTCGAACCCAAATCGCACAAAACCCCACCAAAATCTGCGTATCACTTATCCTAGCCTTGAGGCACTGAGAATTGGTCTAAAAATCTCCAGCCAAAAGACTCTTAAACTAGAGGACATGCTACACCCTTCCTGCTCAGCCAGTTCAGAACTTCCTCCTCCAAGTCAATTCACTTCACATGCGTTGGAGTCCTTCTAGAAAACCATTAGTTAACTGGAAACCCCCAAGGGGCCACAGCAGTAAGCAAGCTAATTTTAGTTTGCCATCAGCATTCAGAGTCAAGATACTGCAAATCAAGGCAAGCAACCAAAAGGAGATCTAAGCAGTAACAGTTTTGCTGGATTAAATACAGAGAAATAAAAGCCCCCGAGAGCATAAAAATAATCTCCCTTTGTCATTCATATAAACACTTGCTCTCAGCACTCAGAAGACCCAAAACAAATCTTGAAGGCTGCACAGCAAAATGAAAACCACCAGGAAACCATGTCATGGGAACAGATGAGACAGGTCAAAAAGAGGGAAAGGTTATAAAATAAAAGTGGTGGTGGTGTGAAGAAAGAAATCTCCAACTACAGCTAGCAGCTAAAGCAGAAAACAAAACACAACTTGCTGCCCTTGACTTCTAAGTGTGGGTACCATACAAGTAAATTTTAATCAAAGTTCATGCTTGTCAGATTGGAAAGTTACCATGCAAACACGGCTCAAGCTGAACACTGCTGCATTCACATTTTCCCAATGTTGTCTCTTCACCACTGGTAGCTCTAAGATAAACTTTGTGCCTTTACAGCTACACTCTCTACTACCACTATTTGTGTGCAACTAAATTCAACACTGTTTGCTCACAAACTGAATGCCAGCAATCGCTGCTACAGAACAGTAAAGCAGTATGCTAACTAGGTGCTTTTCCAGTAACTTTTACTTTGGGAGATACACGGCATGTAATAACTACCGTTTATGCACACATACTGCTTTAATGTCTGTACTTAACACCACGAGTACCAGTCTGTGCTAGTATTGGCAGGTAAGACTCGAGAAAAAAAAAAAAAAAAGTGACACCAAAGAAGTTCTTTGAGCTTACACCCATCTGTTAAAACACAATGAAATTTTTCTAACAGGTATCACAGAGGCAACTAATATCTGTACAAGTGTTACAAGATAAATTCTGAAAGGAATTATGATTTTAATTACATAGCATCACCACAGCATCAAGACTTCGATTAAACACCCAGATCACTTCAAAAAATCCAATTTCACTCTTCGTTGACAAGAAGCCCACAGACATTGAAGTACTTACTGTAGGCAGAATTCCTGTAACATACAACAGCTTCCAAGAGCTGAGCCTCCCAAGAAGTTTTATTTGAAAGTTAACATTTATATTCCCATAATAAAAATCATATCTATTGTTAAGATAGTTTTAATACATCTGCACTAGAGACAGCTATAATGCAAAGCCATGAACATTGCTGAAGAATCGATGTTGCTGTGCTTGTTTTCCAAAGGAAGACATTAAAATACAATAAACTCTGCTAATGCCACATTTTGTATTTCCTTTTTTAAGTCAGATGGCAAAAATCTTTATGAACATAGAGAAGTTAACTCACCATCAGTCACTGCAACTTATGTAGGAAACCGTAAGTCGAGCTAACATCTCTACTTGTTTCAACCTCATATTTCTAACATACTTCAGTTTTGGGGCAACCCAGCCACTGCTTTTATCCCTGGGTTTGTCAAACCACACACTGAGGTAATCTGGTTCATAAGATCAGCTGGAAAGTCTGTACTTGTGCTACATTTGCTTTTGTTGTTACTGCCTATTGTTAGCAGAACTGGCTCATCAACAGGTCAGAGGAGCACAGAAACAGAAAAGGAAGCAGCAGAAGCAAGTCTGTCCCTTTCCACGAGCTACTAAATCCTCTCAGACCTCAGGAAACTCCACTCTCTGACCATGTGTTGAAGATAAGCACGCAGGCACTTTTCACAAACGACCATTGAAAACCACATACACCTCTAGATAAGACACTTCTTCATCTGTGGTTTCCCCATTCCCAATGCTCCAAGCAGCATCTTCACAGAATCACAACATGTTCAGGCTTGGGAGGGACCTCTGAAGATCATCTAGTCCAGCCCCCCTGCCAGAGCAGGATCACCTACAGTAGGTCATGCAGGAACACGTCCAGGTGGGTTTTGAATGTCTCCAGAGGAGACTCCACAAGATAGTTGGCATTTGAGACACAACACAGGAAACCAAACTACTAGCAACAGCTAAAAGCAGATGCCTATAGGACACTATGCAAATGAGGAAAAGTAACTCTACATTGCTTCAGAAATGATTGAAACAAAGACCTCAACTTTGCTAAGGTTTCAGAACCTTCTCAGAGATGCTTCTCACCTGTGTTACTTTGTGCTACACTCCTTCTTCCAGGCTATCAAACAGTGGTAGGCAATACAGCAACAGAATCACAGGATGTTAGAGGTTGGAAGGGACCTCGAAAGATCATCTAGTCCGTGCCCTCCTACTAAAGCAGGATTGCCTAGAGCATGTTACACAGGAACGCATCCAGATGAGTTTTGAAAGTCTGCAAAGAAGGAGACTCCACAACCTCCCTGGGCAGCCTGTGCCAGGGCTCTGTCATCCTCACAGGGAAAAGGTTTTTTCTAATGTTTTTATGGAACCTCCTACGTTCCAGCTTGTACCCATTGCCCCTTGTCCTGTCACTGAACAACACCCCATAATTACGAATTCTAACAATACAGAGTACCAAATCACACCAAAAACTACAGGCTGACAACATGACACATCATATTAATTCATAATGCATCATTCTTATTAGTTTAAAACAGACTTCAGCTGACAACACTGTGAAACCACGCAGTGCCCAGGAAAGGAGATACCATGCTCCTTGTAGATTCTCTTCTGCTTCAAGGGGGGAGACAACACAATAGAGAAACTGTTTTTCTTAAGAAAGTCTCACCTCTTCTTCTTGGGTTTTGTTTTTTGAACCCAAATATAGGGAACAACTGCACAGTTTGCAATAGCCATGAACTACATTCAGCTCTCTCCCAAAAATACATTTAAAGGGGCTGATATACATTCCTTCAAGTATAGCTGGGGAGACATGTCTTCCCCAAGTGATGAAGCATGAAAGAGCCACCATGTGTGAGGCAACATCCAGTCTAAGGCATTTGTCCATTTATCCATAGCTGGACACTCACGCTGGAGGCAGTAACAACGATGGAAACCGGTATTTTCAGTAAACATTGTTTACAAGATTCAAGTAATGAAGGAACCAGTTACCACTTCCAGGGCTTCAAAAGGGGCTGAAACACACATTCTTCCAAGGGAGACACCAAACAGTAGTGTTATAAGAACACAGGATATTTTAATGTTGTTATATAGTTTTACCCAAGTAATCTCTGCACAGGGAAGCTCTACACCATGGTGAGGCTTGCTCTGAGCATCCATCTTTTCTTTACTTATACTTCACTAAGACAATAACACAGGGCTGAGAGCTTTCTTGACTATACATTTATTTTTATCAGTTGTAAAAATGTATATACTGAAACATTTACAAGTTAGTTGTGGTGCTCTGGCAAGTGAATACAGTATTACCAAGAAAAATAAATCACACTTGTCTAAGAGCATGGAATTTGACTCAAAAACAAAATACCTGTGCCCATGATTAGCATATACTTTGTATTCAGAAACAAACCACAACACAAACTTGGTATAATCCGAAAGACTATTTCTTGGTCAAACAAGCCTAATCCCATGTTCCATGCCACACAGTCCAGACGAGATATTTACTACACTTTAGCAGCAGTGCTGAAAATAATCTCTTAACTGATTGTTTTCCTTCCTTTCATGGCTCCATTATCTAATAGCCCATTAGATCATAGCGAATGTTTTCCATGTCCGTTTCATCTTTTATCCTTTCCTCTTTCCTTACATTGTCCTGTACACCTCCTCTGACTTCAACACTTGGCTTCCCCCATGTCAGGAGAGAGCCCAGCTGTCTGTTTTGCTAACTCCTATTCCTTATACCACCCTTCAATCGTGTCACTCCAATTTAGAAGCAGGCACTGTCTGCAGAAAATACGCTGCCAACTTCAGGAAGGACAGCCTCTTAAGATATTTACCTGAAAAGTAGAATTACTGACCAGAATTGGTTCTGTTTAGCTCAAACCAGGACAAGTGCTATATTATTTTATATGTGATCATTACAGAACACACAATACTGTACCAAGATTTGGAAATATCCATAGTGAATTATGAGCTAAAGCAATGCTCGATTTGAGAGACAGAGCACAAGTATGAGTTACCCTCACATCTCAGCAGCCTGAGGTGTACTTCAGGGACAAGCAGCATGAAGCAGAACACACTCAAATTTTAAGGGCTAATGCTAGAACTAATGTAAGA